TTCGTTTCGTAGGGATTTTATTTGATTGGTTGGAGGATTTCATCGTGAGACGGTTCTCTAAATGGAGTCAGCACATGATAAAATCCTCAAACCAATCAAATAATTATTTGCTGAGAGAAGAAATTTCTTCTCCTATCGAGTCTTATGTGTGTAAAGTGAAATTCCAAATATTGAGTCATAAAAGGACGACGTAACAAAGTAAAGTCAAAAACTTGATTTTCAATGGGATTATTTTTCCATGCCGTACATTTGTATTTATAATTATAAACAACAAATTCATTAAAATTTTAAGTGTTAGTATGTAGAGAGTGGAATATTTTTATGTTTGATCACGGATTGATATCAGTTAGACGATGGCCTTAAAATACACGAATTGACAAAAGCTAGAATTCATCGGTCATTAGATTCCATCCCAAAGAGTGAATGATCAACGACTTCGCCTCGTAAACTGGAGGTCCTGGATTCAATCCCCAATGAACTTATGGGTGCGTACTAATGAAGAGTCCCAAACTAAGACGAAACAGCCATCCAGTACTCCCTGGTTTTCAATGGTTCTCTAACTAATATCAATCCATGGTCACAATTGAAACAAACTCAATGAAACCAACCGAAAACTATCAGTGTACTCCAGAAAAGTTTTACATAGTGAAAGATTAACTGTAGAGTGAAATAAAGAAGCCAAAGCTGGTATTTTCTTAATTTTATTCCTTTTGTGTTCCCGAGGGAACTACCGATCTGAGCTTTGAAGTTTCATTAGCAGTGTTTTTTATGAGGTGAAGATGCTAGCCTTAAGCTCAACCTTCCGTCTTTATCGGGCCCATTGCCGGATATCTATGAGGTTTAGATGTGCACCGACCAGGGATCGAGTCCCGCGTTAGAGAGCATTCCACCACTGAACCACTGAAGCTGGTATTCCGTAGTATATACTAAAATGACCTAGTCATCCTAAATGTACAAAAAGATTAGGTCACTAATTGATATTATTTAAAGAACCATTGAAAGCTAAGGAGAGCTGAACATCTACTTTATCAAGATTTGAGGCGTCTCAGTAGTGTATAGCCATAATCCCACCAGAGATCGAGTCCATCGGCAGTTAATTTACTGGAATTGAATCCAACGGCTAGTGAATTTTAACCTCTGGTAATCGGCAATAGATAACGCTACTGCCAATCAGTAACTATCTAGTACCCTCTGGTTTTCAATGATTCACTGACTGATGAACAAACTAGAAATCGACCAGACCAAGACAAATTTTTAGGCGGAAACATTGATGTGAGTGGATCTATTATTCATAAACGTAGGGATATGCTTTGAAATCGCGAATAGCTAGTATTTTATCTATGCAATCAAAATACTACTCGTGAGACTTCGTAGATTACTTTGAAGCAATCGTCTAGTAAATTCGCATTTTTTAACTCCTTTGCGTCCCCAGCGGAACAATAGTTTCAAGCTAGAGGCTTGAAGTTTCAGTAGCATCGGCGTTCAGTTTTACGGAATGGGATTGCTAGTCTAATGCCCAACCTTCCCCTTTTACCAGTCTTACTACTGGCTTAGCAAGGTAAAGCGCTGCGTCAGCCAGGGATCCAACCCCGAACCACATGCGTAGTCGGCAAGCATCCTAACGCTGTGCCGCAGATGCACAATGAGTTCACATACTCAGAGTTAATAAAATGCTCTTTTTTTATCTCTAAATAACTCTCTGAAATAGCCTCACAGGCTTGATGGTATGTATAACCAATGTACTTTGCTCGACAGTTGCAAATAAACTAGGAGATGCACACTGAGTTGGACAAGAACGGTTGTTTGCCTCAACAGCATTGGCGACTTCATTCTCGACTGGTGTATATACACCCAGATTATTTGATAGACATATATGGGAAAAACTGCAAGCCTAGAAGATCCCATTATCCTAAAGAAGACTTTCTTCACGAATCTAAAATTCGAGAATCTCTGCAGAAGACGCTTCCACACTATCTTGAAAATGTTATTCTCCAGTTGAGAGAGACAGAGAAAAGCGACGAAAGATGGTATTGAAATCTTCATTTACAGTAGGAAGTTGGTAACCGTGACAGACTGTCATCTTGATGCAGTTTACCTATTGCATGTATAAAATTAGACTAGTAAATAACTATTCAACGGAATTCATTCCAAATTTATTAAAGACTCATAAGAAAAACTGGCAGTAGTAATGTGAATAATGAACACTGAGGAATTCAAAGCCCACACAGTACTATTATACAGAGAAGGAAGGAACATTTGAAACCTTAGGTATGCTTCCATTATGGGTAAATTTTGTTTTGATAAAGTCTCACAGTGTTATACAGTAATGTTTATTGATGACGTTTCGAGCACAATTTACTGCCACTCATAATCATATCAAGGTACTCACACGACTTCCTAAATTCATTTATATAAATCCATTATTTTTCACTTGATTTGATTGGTAGTAGTATTTTCCATATTTCCGGTATGAGTGATGAGTGATTTCTATTGCATGTGTTGGGTATAGACTCAATGAGCCGGGATTCAGTAATCAATCTCTCTCTCTCCACCTATCTAGATTACTTCTTAGAATTTTCACCCTCTCTCACCCTATTGTGTGATTGTGTGTTAGTGCATGCAGTGCAATCTGAGCTTTTTTCTAAATTACTTATCTTCTCGGGGTCAACCATTCTTACCTTAGCTAAATTCTTATGTTCTGACAAGCGATCTCACTACTCCTGATCTACTAGTTTGACCTATGTAGTTGACCTCACAGTCATTGCATGGTATTTTGCAAATTGTATTATTTTGTCTAATTGGGTCAACTGGATCCTCTAACCTACAGAGCTTGTACCTGCCTGAGTGAGTTTGTAGGTTTGAATGCCACTCTAATTCCTGCTTTATTTAGAATCCTATGTAGGGTCTCAGATATCCCCTCTTTATATGGTATAACTGTAGATGACTTATATTCTTTCTTATTTGTGTTATCATTAATAGTTTCACCATTATTTTTATTTTGCTTTTGGTCTTTACTGATCTTCCTAATGAATTTTAAAGGATAGTTATTTAACACCAACACCTCTTCTATCTGTTTTATTTCATCATTTAGGTCTTCTCTTGTGCTACTGCTTGGTTTTTTAGATACGACTAATCCTGCCTTAACAGTTAACAGATGAGAAGAATTAAAGTCTAAATATCTATTAGGGGAATGCTTTGGTTTTTTATCAACACTAGTGTGCAGTTTACCTTCTTCTATTCGTTTTGTTTCACAATCTAACATAGCTAATTCTCTTTGTTCATTTCCTGATTCCAATGTGAATTTTATTCCCTCTACTCGTGAGTTTATATGTGTCAGGAAGCTAGAGATATGTTCTGTTTTTAACACCGTGAAAGTGTCATCCACATATCTCCACCATATTTTTGGAGTAGGAGTAAACGTATTAAGAGCACTACTTTCCCAGCTGTCCATAAATATATCTGCTACAATAGGGGATACTGGTGATCCTATTGATACATCTTCTGTTTTTCTATATATTTTGCTTTGGAACTTAAAGATAGTAGACGTGACGCATAACTGAATTCCTAAAATAATTTGTTCAATGGGCAGCTTTGTCCTATGATTGAGTTCAGGATCCGCAGTTGGTTCTTTTCTAACTGCTTCTAAGGCCATAATGACTGGTATATTAGTGTAAAGACTAGTTATATCAAAACTAACCATTTTTTCATCATTCTCTAGTTTAATGTCATTTAGTTTATTTTTCATCTCATATGAATTAGTTAGTCTAGAGTTTGAACGATTTCTAATGGGGCATAATATTAGAGCTAAGTGAAAATCAAGTGAAAAATAATGGAACTATATAAATGAAGTTAGGAAGTCGTGTGAGTACCTTGATATGATTATGAGTGGCAATAAATTGTGCTCGAAACGTCATCAATAAACATTACTGTATAACACTGTGAGACTTTATCAAAACAAAATTTACCCATAATGGAATTACACTCTACCACAGTGCACAAGTTTTATTCTTATATCAATGATACTTAGGTATGCTTGTCACTAAACTTGGAGCTATGGTGGCATTTAATCCAACCAACCAACCAACCAACTTTGTCAGCCTAAGGATCTGTTAGATGCAATTAAGGAAAGTAATATAATATACGAAGTACCGTCTACTGATTGTGAAGTCATTTACATATGTCAAAATAGTAGATCGGAATCTGCTAGATTATTGGAATACAGAAATTTAGCTAGAGATATACTAAGTCCTATCATCCTGGAGAGAATAAAGGATGCACTAGGTACAGAACACCTCCAGTCGGAAACATTTGGATTTAGGAAAGGTAATATCATGTGCTAATCAAACTGCGACTACACTCATCGTCATCGAACAAAGTGTAGAACGGCAGTCAAATCTGTACCTCAAATTCATTGACTTCGAGAAGGCCTTCCGACAGACAGTGTTGACCAAGAAGTAATTTGGAAACTACTTAAAATTAAGGCATGCAGTGCCCAAGTCTTTATCAACCTCATTCAACAGCTCGCTATATGACAATGTTTGCCACGTGTCAGGTGATCCACAACAGAAAACTCAGTGAGGTGTTCGAAGTGCATACGGCAGTATTCTTAATTGTGGTGGACTAAATTATGCGTCAGATTGTGAGTTGGGAGTGAGAGAATAGGAATACGCTGGACTACCGATGACAAGACTCTAGAAGATTTGGACTTCCCGCGTGGATGATTTGTGACTAATGTCACACAAACTCAAAGACTTACAGGCGAAAAGCACCAAACTGGCTGAATTGACAGACAGGCAGTTATCCGGAGACACATTCTAGTCAGGATAGATAACCAATACAAACACTAGCACTCCGTTCCAACATGTAATATATCATAATGTGTGTCAAATAGAATAAACTCGTTGGATCTGAAAAATTACTAACGGGTTGAAAAGTTACAGGAGATTTATTATTCTTTTTATAAATCCCCTGTCAGTGGTATTTAACAATAATGAACTTACCCCTTGGTTGACTTCCTAATGCTGACCATGTTAAAAAGGCTACAAATGCAGAAGTGATTGCCCCAGGTAACCACATTTGACCTTTGCGTACTATTGAAAGATAAACAGAGATAAGAAGAAAAACAAAAAAATATAAGTTTTGAACCAAGATGTTATTAATATTTCATTTGAATTGATTGTAACTGTATGAAATTGGAACAATGGAGCACACGTCTATTGTGAACGTGAGAAGTAGTGACGTTACTAAGTGGCTGCCCAAACATTGGTAAGGGGGTAGCGGGTTTCGAGCTATTGATTGGAAGTTAGGCGTCTAGACCAATACGCCAGAGTTCAAGATGAAATATTCAATGCAGAATCCCGACCGATAGCTTCTACCTTGACGTGGTGGTCGGGCTTGCACATCGCGATGACCCGACAAGCTACACTGGCTGCAACTATTCTTCCTACAGGTCCTACCATGCCAGGAAGGTTGTTAGGATAGCGATTAGACTAAAAGCAGCTACCGGCATAGTATAAGAATCTCTCTTACACTATTCTGGAGGTCTGTGGGCGAAGTCGTACTGCTGGGGAACAGGGTGTAACAGCAGTGAGGTGTTTCCCTCATATGACCAGTATGCCAGCTACGCTGTCTCTCCAATCTGGAGAGAGGGGGTTAAAAAAGGTCAACCCCGAAAATTGTACATCCCGAATTACCTTACGGTGGTCCTTAACCGCCAGTAAGTTTACTAATACGGAACCGAACCAAGAAACCATTTCATACAAACCGTGTGTGACCTGTCTGATGCTTAGAAAGTCTTCGTGCGCTTTTGGAAGTGTGTGGGCGGTTGTTACTTCCCAGCTGCCCACACCGTGGATGTTGCTTGATTCTTCGGGTACCTGAAACAGAGAGAGGGTTAGTGTTGCGTGACCGCAGACCCCAGGGGACAACTGCTTGAGGCCGGTCACACGCGGCCTGTTTATGCTTGCTCTTTTTGGTGTGTCTCAGTAGCATATTTATCACTCCTACCCTGTGACACGGCGGCAGGAAGCGCGGTCGTTGTTAATCCGGGCCCCGACCGATCCGGCATGATATTTTGTTTGAGTTCAAGTGGTGTTCAAGCCCGACCACCACGTCAAGGTAGCAGCTTTCGGTCGGGCCGGCCTCATGCATTTGTCCCCTGGGGTCTGCGGTCACGCAACACTAACCCTTTCTCTGTTTCAGGTACCCGAAGAATCAAGCAACATCCACGGTGTGGGCAGCCTGGAAGTAACAACCGCCTACACACTTCCACCTCTATAAGGAATAATTTTAATTCTAAAGCATTTACAATAAATCAGGCAGTAGTCAAAAACTTATTTCTAAACTACATGAAGTTAGTTTTCAAAATCAACAGAGTACAAAACGGCATATCGCTAACATATGTTAAAGAAAATAATGATTGCTTGCCATCTTTAGATGTACTCATAACCCGCCGAAAAGATGGGTCAGTAAAACGATCTGTGTCTACAGAAAGTCCACATGGACGGGATAGTATCTAGATTATCATAGTTTCTGTCCACTACACTAAAAAAAGGCGTTGGTTAAGTGTTTGTTCAAGCGCATTCACCGTATATGTACTGCGGACACAACTGAAGAAGAAAGACAACACCTCACTGAAATATTGTTAGATAATAGTTACCCTCTGAGATTTATTAGGCTCTGAGATCTACCAATCCAATCAGCCCCCAGAAAGGATGTTTACATATCCTTGCCGTTCAGGGGTGATCAACAAAGTCTGGTCAATAGACAAAGACTCAAGGCAGCTAAACTTATCTTGATAGAGACAACAAGAGCTATGCTGTCCTGAAAACCCTCACAGCATCCAAACTATAGTGTCACATTCCATTGTGTTTATCAATTTACACGTATGTCTGGACACACCTGCATAGGGACGACCCATCGGTCTCTGCAGGTTATGACTACAGAACACATTCCAAAGTGGCTACAGCAACAAACAAAATCACTTGACACAATTGATCCCGGAAATAGATGTCCAACATCATCTATAGTGAAGCACATTATAGAGACGGGTCATAAGGTTGATCTCCACAAAGTCTTTAAGCCCCTATATAAAACAAGGTTGAGTCACATACTTAAATTCGTTGAAGCCTTGACCATAATAAAACTTAAACCTTTCTTATGTGTCCAAAGGTTATTTGTTATGACCTTAAACCGGCCTTGGTAACCCAATTTAGAAGCAGGGTTCAATTTATTTCATAACATTTTTAACCCATTCTTTGCCTTGTATTAATCTTTTTATCTCTCACCCACACCTTTGGCGTCTCCCCACCTACCCATTATTTGTGACCTTGAGCTCTACACAATCTGACCTGTATCGTAATTATTCATGCCTTCTTGCCTTCCATAAAAACTGTGTATGACAAGTACATGTGTGATCAGAATGTCTGAAATGTGTTGCGCAAATACATTACACATTTCAAATAAGCTACGTCTTCTTATTGTTTACAGGATTTCATCATGAGCTGACATTGGTTAGAGAACCATTAGAAAACCAGCTGGGAGTACTGGACAGCTGTTTCATCAGCCTAGTTTGGGACTCTTCAGCAGTACGCACCCATCACCACGGTTTGAACTCACGACCTTCTGGTTACAAGGCTAGCCAGCTCGTAGACCATTAAGCGCTTGGACTCGATCCAATGACCCATGAATTCTAATTTCTGCCAATTCACGACATAGCGCAACTGCTAGCCAATGACGAATATTTGCCCTCACACCGACCTGCTGTACCCACTAGACCCCAAGCAACTACCTACCTGAATAGAGCCAGTCACCAGTGAGCATCTCATTGATATTTAATACTTGAATATCTTCTTATTGTGTTGCCAAAATTTCAAGAGTTTGTAAGGATTTGATTTCTTACAAGTCTGACCACAGATTCATGCCAGTTAGGGAACCAGTACAAAATTAGCAGGGAGTACTGAACGACTGTTTTGTCCTAGTTTGAGATCCTTCATCAGTATGCACCCACTAGTTCACTGGGAACGGAATCCGAGACCTTCAGGTTATAAGTGCGTGGGACAAAACAACCCCCAGTACTCGTAACTGGTTTTCAATGGTTCTCTAAATGACATGAATCCGTGATCACACCTGGAACACATCAAATCTCTACAAACTAACTCCTGAAAATTAATCTGATGTTTACTAGTGATTAGCTACAGGAAAAAGTTGCTTGGAATTACAGTGCGAAATCGTGACAACTCTAGCCTACCATGTGTCGTACCTTAAAATAAATACTCCTAGGTAAAATTGGTTGGTAGTCTAGCTAAAATCACAAATTGACAGAATTCATCGCCCATTGGATAGGGTCCCAGTGGCTGAATGCTCAACAAACTTGGCCTCGTAACCTGAAGATCACAAGTTCGTTACCCAGCGGGGTTTCCGAAGTATATTCGAAGTTAGTCTTGAATATGTTATCCAGAAAGAACAATGAAAGCTTCACCACCAAACCAACCAGTTGAGAGGACACGACAACATCGAAAACATTCACCCAGGTCACAAAATCTCCTTTAACATTTCTACAATATGTTCATTATCCAGAATTAAATATATATTGCGAATGATTGAATCATACAATATGAAGTGAGTATAGACGATTCGTGTGATGAAAAAGAGTTCAATCATTCATATTTTAATCGAAACTGGATAATTCTGTTTTTAAATTAAGACACAGACTTATCACTTTCATATACTGATTTCCAATTGAATAAACAAATAAATAATTGTTCTTTTTGGTTATTATTGTCTCGAGAGTCATATGATCCAACTTCTGTAGGTGGTTAATGTAAACAAAAGACAACCAAAAAAATAGGAGGGTAAATACATAAGAATATCGTTTTTCTATCCTCAAAGAGCAGTTCCATCGTAATACAGATGCTTAGAAAAAGAGGTAAAATGGAAAGAATAGCTTGTACATACACGATTAACTTTTATTTAAGTCAATCTATGCAGTTTAAAGTTGTAAAACAGTAAGACTCAGATATTGAAAGCTCAGTGAACACTTTGAAGTGAAGACAGGAGTAAGAAAAGGCCGCCTGTCTACTATCACCGATAATATTTATTGATTGCGGTAGACTAGATCTTGTAGAAGGCCATTGAGAGCGTGAAGACAAAAATACATTGGATCAATGAGAAAACATTAAAAGATTTGAACTTCACGGACAATATGTATCTGATGTCACACAAACTCAAAGATCTGCAAGGGAAAATCAGCAAGTTGGGAGTAGAGGTAGACAGCCAAAAAGAGGACTTCATGTTGACATATAGGAGATGAAGATGATAAAGATACCTAACCGAGACAGCGACAAACATCGTCAACGGAAGAATTATAAGGTAAGTTGTCTCTTTCACATATTCAATCCTTTCAGTTGCATGGCGTCAATGATGAGAAATTCACAGATAAGATCGCAACAGCAAAGCAAACCATAATTACTTTGAAATAAGTGTGGAAATCCACTGCACTCAACGTTGGGAACAAGATCTGGATTTTCAACACTAGTATCAAGTTGGTCACTGCTTCTGTATGGTTCAGAGATATGGTTGGTCACAAAAAGCATTTCCAACAAGCTACTGAAGACTTTCATCAACAGCTGACTCCTTCGCTGACTCCATACTGAAGATTAAATGGCCAGCCGGCTATAATGAATTATCAATAAGAAACTATGGGAACAAACTAACCAATAACCTATTGTTCAACAAATATTCTGAAGGAAATGGAAGTGAATTGGAGATATTCTGAGGAGAACGTCGAATGGCATCGCGCGCCAGGCCGTCACTCGAGTGGAACCTAAATGGGAGACGACGAGTGTGATGTCCGTGACATGGAGGAGATTGCGTGAGGAGGAGATCAGAGACTATGGACAATTGTAGGGTCAGATGAAAAAGACCACAGAGAATAAGACAAAGTGGAGATGTGCTGTTGAAGCTCGATGTCCTACTCGGTACCCCAGGGAACAATAATTAAATAAAAATGTCACTTAGTTGTCTTATGTTGTCTCAATGTACATTTTATTTTAATCAAGTAATCCGGCGAACATTCAAAAGTCATCAGGAC